AACCACGATGCATCTTATAATTGTTGTCTTGTCATCATTTTCATTGCTTAAAGCAAGCATGTACATTGAAGTACTGGCATCAAAATTTAAGAATGGGTGGGAGCATATTGGGAGAAATTTCTAGAGATGAAGGTGAAATATTCATAGGTTGTGAGGAGAAGTGGAGTGAGTGGTGAAGCAGACATGTTTAGCAACATTCCTGAAGTAGAAGTCAAAAGTAAGCTAACTCCAGATAATTGCAAAGCCAGCCTAAAAGTCTGGCAACGATAACTGTTACTCTTGTTATGGCTTCTTTTAAGAAATGCTGCGTTACTAATGCTCTTCACAGGAAAGGGTATGTTACAAGAATGGGAAAACACAGACTTGGCTAAATCTGAGTGGAAAAGTGTTTCAGAAAAGTCAGACTCTGAAAGTGAAATAGTTTTAGGAATACCTTACCCAATTTATTTCCCTTATAGTGTCCTTTTTTATGAATATTTAGAGTGATTCTGATTTTTTAATTTTCTGTTTCTAATTAAGCCTAAAAGACATCGTGTGGCTGCTTGGCCACAATTTTCTTTCTTACTCTTCTCTTTAATGGTGCAACCTACAGTCAACGTCATTTTAGATTCAGTGAATTACAGTCATAATAACAATTTACTGCTTCTACCAAGTATGTTACTTGCATAATCTCTTTTAATCCTTCTAGCAGTTCTGTAAGGAAGATACTATTATAATTATGTCTTGCAGATGAGGAAACCCAACTTCAGAGACAGAGTATCTCGTCCAAGGCTACACAGCTGGTAAGTAGTAAAAGTGATGTTTGAACCCAAGTCTATTAACTGCTTAGCCAGGGTTCTTAATTTCTATACTCTGTCACCACTAGGTCCAAAGCTAATTAGCTTGGCTATTACAACTTAACACGCTACATTAAGAGCATATTAACTGTAAAGAAACGGGGGAGAGGTCATTTCCCACATCACTGTAATGAGATTGGCTCCTTTGAACTGAAAAAGACTAACATGTACTATACCAATTCTTCAGCCTCAGATGTTAGCTGAATCAGGGATGTACAGTTACATGAGTCCTCATTATAATTAGAATGTCAAGCATTGAAACAAATTACCTTTGCAGGTGTAATGACTGGGGAATAAACTAAACCAATATGGGCAAACTGTAGTACATGTTGGGAATTTGGTGAAGAACCAGGATGACCTGGCTGGGAATAAGAGCTCTACTTGGCAGAAAGTTCTCATTTAATAAGGAAATATAGACAGGAGTACATTTCTCTTAGTTAATTGCAGACCAGCTAACAAGAATTCAGAAGAGGGATGGATTAGGATTACAAGCAGGGATATTGACTCTGGAAGGACTGTACTGCTGGGCTGTTGCACAACACAAGGTTAGTAACGTTACCAAGATCCAACTGGGGGAATTCAATAGCAGATAAAGAGTCAAGAGGTTCTCTGGGTCTAATTAAGAAATATATAAGTATGATGATATGCTATCCTGACTAGGGTAAGAGAAACAAGCTCTCTCATGCATAATCTGAAAATATCTGTTAAAATTTAAAAAGACTCACATTCTTTGATTCAGCAACTCTACTTAAGTCTAGGAGTTTATCCCACAGATATGTTCAAATATGTGCATAAAGATATAGGTGTAGGGCTTCCCTGGTGGCGCAGTGGTTGAGAGTCCGCCTGCCGACTGGGGACACGGGTTCGTGCCCCGGTCCGAGAAGATCCCACATGCCACGGAGCGGCTGGGCCCGTGAGCCATGGCCGCTGAACCTGCGCATCCGGAGCCTGTGCTCCGCAACGGGAGAGGCCACAACAGTGAGAGGCCCGCGTACTGCAAAAAAAAAAAAAAAAAAAAAAGATACAGTGTAAGAACATTAATTGCAACATAATTTAAAACAGCAAAAGTTTAAAAATAATCTAAGAGCTCATCACTAGGGACTGGCAAATGTCATCTCTCTGGTAAGTGATTTGTGAACCTCCACACCGAGCTTAGTGCTCCTCCTCTGTGCTTTTAAGCACCTTAGCATCCCATGTCTTAAAACCTCTAGTAATGAAAAAGTCTGTTTATTTGTCTGTCTCTCTCTGTAAGGGTACTCTTATTTCCCTCTTTAGACAATGAGAGATCTTGAGCTCAGAAGGCGTGTGCAGTCCACTCCCCACCAATAAAGGTTGAGGACAAAGTATACGTAAAGGCACAGAGGTGTGAAAGAGGCTGGTGTGCTGGGGAAAGAGCAAGTGGTCAGTGTGACCTCTATATATGTCATGATAGGGAGTTTGGACTTTAACCTAGAGGATTTGATTCACTCTTTTACGGAAAAAGTCATAAGTGTAGAACCCAAAGAGTTGAGTTCTTTCTTTCTATAGAGTGAAGTCCAGATAAGAAACTTAGACTCAGGGAGGACAGAATGAGAGAGTAAAGCTGAGATCCAAATGAAACTTGCCAGAACCCTTTCTGCTCTCTGGTGGAGGACATTTGGGTTCCTTGCCTGGTATCTGGTATGGACTCCCACAGGTTTAGGGTCAAGGTCTGAGTCTGAGACACAGAAGTGATCAGGGAACCAGAGAGAAGCAGCTTCCTCCCCAGGCTTCTCCAGCATTTTGTTGCTACACTTGCTGCTTGGGAATGAGCCTGAGATTCTCCTTAGGTGGCCTGGGCTAGCCCAAAGTTTCCCTAAATGCATGCTGGAACCTTAAACAGAAGCTGGATGAGGACTTTTTTTTTCCCCAGAGGAGCATGGCCAGTAAGCTGCCTGTCTGATATCTCTTGATATTTCCTTAGTGCAGGTCTTCCCGGGAGATCATTAACAGGTATTGTAGGGGAAGATCAACGAGAGCTGGGGAGCTTAAAGACAGTGGAGACTAGAGGGCATAAAACTCACTCTTTCCCCCCCCCCCCCCCCCCCGCCACACACACATCATTCTAACCCATAAGTTCTTGTTCTTCCCCACTCCCCATATCCCTAACCCTAAATGGAGGTATGTGTCAGGACAGGAAGAAAGATATTGTAGCTGCTAACAAGGTGTGAATGAGGAGATACTGAAGAGATAAAACTCCCTTTTGAATGGCTATTTCACCCTTTTGCTCTCTTAAAAAGTGATCAGCTGAGTTTTTAAATTAATTTTTATTGGAGTATAGTTCCTTTACAATGTTGTGTTAATTTCTGCCGTGCAGCAAAGTGAATCAGTTATACGTATCAACTGATTTTTTTTAATGACTCGATTCTTTGATTACCTAGACTCTTGATACTAATGCTAGTCACTTCCTGTCTAGATCAGGGATGGCAGAAACTTCAGGCGACACGGGAGTAGAGTGGGGTTAGCCAGGGAAGGCTTGCTGGGGGAGAGTTCTGAGAAGTGAGCTAAGCCTGCATTAGAAAGGTGGAAATCAGAACCACAAAGACCCTTGTAAACCAGAACCCCAGTACTGGATCATAGGGCCTGGACATAACTCCTCAGGGTTAAGCAAGTGTCCACTGAGGTCAGTTTATTTGATTGCTCTTTTGTAATTTCAAATTAGCTTCTCCTCCAGTAAGGCTTACTGATGCCCTCAGTAAGGAATGCTTCCAAATATCCAACAGGTTAAAGAACCTCTTAACAAGACTTCCATGTTCTGATCCCTTCCTACTTCCCCATGTTCATCTCCTGCCACCTTCTCCCTAAAACACCCCCCCCACACACACACACATGCATAAATACGCATAATTCTCCAACCACTTTCAATTATTTGCAGCTCTACAAACACACCACGGTCTTTTATGTCTCTTTGCCTTTGCACCCTCAGCCTGCATGCCCTACCCCTCAATCTTTTCACATCTCTTCTTGGTGAAATCTTGCTCTTCCTTCAAGATTCAATTTCCTCCTCTGAATTCCCAGTGTTTCATAGAGCACTTATCACATTGCACTGTAATTTGTGTGTGTACCCACCTGCCTCTCTCATTTTTATAATTTCAGTGACTTTGCAGTAATAACACAGTGAAGATAATACTAAGAAGAAAAGGATGAAGTATGTTGATGTTATTCTGGTTAATTGTTCAAAAAGAAATGGGAAATTGCATTGTGACTGAATATGTGTCAAGTAGAAGGATGGGAGGGTAGAGTTGTTATCAGTTCTAAGCCTTAGCAGTAAACGTTAACTGATGAAGGATAAGGACCCAATGAGAAATAAACCTCCTGGGAATAATTCACACCAGACTTGCAGAAAACCAATAGTTTTAGTAGGCAGATGAGGGACTTATAAAAATTGAATTGTATGTTAGTGTTGGAATGGCTCTTCGGGAGGTAAGAACATGGTAAAAACTAGAATTCAGCAATTTTGAGAATTTGTCTTAATCTTTCTTCAAAGAGATTTCTTGATGCTAATAGTACCACTTGTTTAGTTAGGCTAAAGTGAGCATGGCCTGCCTGCTGCCACCAGAGCCCATCAGCCTGTCTAGCTATGTTGGTGCAGGAGGTGCATCTGGGTGAGTCTAACAGTATGCTGACCCTTCTAACCTGGAATGGAGGCCCACACAAGTCCCTTTCCCTCTCTAAAACTAGCCCAGGACTTTGAGGGTATACACTCATCAGAAACAGAACTGAAAGTCTTTTAAAATTTAACATTAAAGTCATGATGAATAATTACAACTTGACCCTTAAATGCTCCAAAGAGCTTAGTACCAAATAACCTTAAGTACCAAAAAACTGCCTGTGCTGAAATACATGTTGGGTGGATTTATATGAAAAGCTAAGGATGACTAAATTCAACTTCCAAACGTATACCTCAAAGTAGTAAATAACAGGTTTCTCCTTCCTTACTGAAATCTGTGAGGGGAAGGGAGCCATCAGAGGGAAGGCCTTGTGGTTACGAGGATGTGCTGTGTTAGACTGACATGGCAGCCACGACACTTGATAAGCCACAGTAAGACAGGGATGCAGAGATGGCTTTGTAGCGTCTCCACGTGACGGGAAGCAGGAGAGACCAGGGATGGATACGCCTGGAGAGGGGGCAGTAACCATCCCCTCCCTCAGCTCTCCACAGCAGTGGTCTCAGGGGTTCCCTGACTCACAGCAAAGTGGGAAGCGGGGGTCTCGAGTGTGTCCCTGTGCTCTGGGAAGGCCTGTGCCTCCTTTAATTCCAGGACCACCCGGCTGAGAAGGTCTTTGAGCAGCTGCATTTCTCGGAGCAGAAGGTCCATGTCGGGTTTTAGGGCTCCAGTGGTTTGTTCCAAGGGGGTCAGCGGAGCGCAGGCCGGTGGCCCAGCAGTGGGGGCTCCGCCCGCGGGGAACAGCAGCCCGGCTGAGGTGGTGTTAGGGACGGAGGTGACCGACGGGACCGATATGGACAGCGGGGGCTTTCTGAAGGAAAGCGGCTTGTTACCGGGCGCCAAAGCCGCAGCCTGTGGGACCGGGACGGTGGTGGACGCCACGTCCAGGGGAGAACCTGTGAACGCAACACACAGAGAACCGCACGGCTGAAATCCTTCTCGCAAGGGCTGCGGAGTAAGAAGGGGGCAAGGGATGGGGGTGGTGGGGGTGGGAGAGAAGCGCCGGGCCGGGGAGGAGAGTAAGGGGAGTGAGGAGGGTGGGAACAGAGGTGGAGAGGAGGGAAGGAAGGGGGAGGCGGGCGGAGATGGGGGATGGAGATGGAAGCGCGGGGAGAAGAGGGGGGCCGGCGAGACAGGCATTCCAGAGGGGCGGACGCAGGGCTCCCCGCCCGGGTGGGCTTCCCGAAGGACAGTCACTCACCCCGCCCCGGAAGCTGCAGCCAAGGGCTGCGTTTCCGGACGCTGCGGCTGGCGGTAGCAACCTCGCACCAGTGCGATTCCAGCTCCTCGACCTCGGGCTCGGGGACGGTGTACTCGGCGCCCCAGTCGAAGCGGCGCACGGCGCGACTGTACTTGTAGAAGGCGAACTGCAGCGGCGTGTCGCGCTTCTGAGGGTGCAGGAGCGTCTCGCACCGCAAGACCACTCCGCCGAGGGCCGCGCCGCGAGCCTCCACCCGGCCCTTCACCTTCAGCACCGGCGCCTGGAACAGCTCTGCGGAGAGGAGGCCCAGTGGCTAAGGATGCACTTTAGGCCGGCGCAAGGGTCCCAGGGAACCAGGTCCGGCTGGTTCACGGTCCCACGACCCCTCTCCCGGTTTCCCACAAGGGCCCGTAGCCGACCAGGGAGGAGGCTCTGTGTACACGTGGAGGGAGGAAAGTCTTTTGAAATGTGGGGAACGAGTCCACGAGGGAGGGGAGATCTTGAAAGGAGGCGGGACCAGGTATGAAGCTTCGTGTCACCTCCCGACTGACACCCAGCTCGGGTTCTCCAGCCTAGAAGGGAGTCGCTGCGCCTGCTTCACAAGACGCTCAGGAGCAGTTCCCTCGCCCCAGTCCCACAGTGATCCCATCTACTGCCGCTGTCTTTCTGGCTGGGGCTGCGGAGAGAGCTGCCCCCAATATGGGGGTCTCTACCCGGAGTAAGAAGCTGGATGTGTATCGGGGAGAAGGGACACCTGCCCCCACGCAGGCTACAGATCAAGGACGACTTCACTGAGGAGGAGGAGAGGAGAACGTGTACTTGGTCCCGCAGAGAAATCCGCCATGTGCCAGCTAATGTAACCTCCGCCCCTCCTTTCCCCGCCTGGTTTCTGTCCCAGAATTTCCCAGGGCTCGTTTGCCTCCCTCCCTGGCCCCTAGTCTCCCCCACCTTGCACGGTCACGGCCACCTTGGCGGAGAACATGGGCGCGCTCTCCACCGGGATGCGCATGGTGCCGGAGCACTGGTAGCGCCCGCTATCGCTGGCGCGCGCCTGGGGCACCGTGTAGTTGGCGCTGGAGTGGAAGTAGCGCACGGGTTGGCCATCGTGGTAGTAGTGAAGTTTGTAGACGACCTTGTCATACCAACCGCGGCAGCGCATGACCAGCGGCTCGCCCTCGAACACCGCAGCATAGGGTACTTGCAGGATCAGCCAGTCTACGACAGTCAGCACAAACAGACTCCAAGAGAAAGTCCAGCCCTGGGTCTCCCATACTTCTCCGCCTCCCTGCTCCCCCGTCCTCCCCCTTTCTCCTCACCAACTCCCTCCCCCCTTACTGGGCACCCCAGGAGCCTCAGAACAAGAAGCATCAGAAGGTGAGTGGGAAGGAAAGGGGAAGACCAGCCTTTTATTAGGTACTGAGAAGACAAAGATGCCTGAGACTTGGTTCCAGCCTCAAAGAGCCATGCCCATCAGAATCCAGTTTAAACTCCTTAGGATGGTATCAGGGCCTTCCTGACCTGGCCTCTGCCTACCTTTTCAGCACCATCTCAGGATTCTCCCCTGCCCCATGTCTCCTTTTCTCTCTCCACCTTCCATTCCTAATGCAGGCTAAGTCCATGCATACTGGACTGCTGGGAGAACTGGCCCTGCTCTGAGCCCAGAGGCTTTGTACCTGCCAAGAAGACCCCTTCACCTGCTGTAGTTGAGGCCTGCTTATCCTGCAGATCTGGGCTTAGATCCTGTCTCCTTGAGAAAACTTACCTGACCCCACCCCCAGACTTAGGCACCTCCCCCAGCACCCTTATGTACCTGATCACCATCATCATCATAGCCAACACTTACATAGCCCTAGTGTCTGCTAGATGCCACTTTAGGTGTTTTCCATCGAGAAAGAATTCCGCAAGTGATAGCCACAATCTCTGTGCTACTCACAGTTCCGCAAGCAGTGACTACCGTCTATCATATTCAATATCTTATCTGTACTCGCTATCAATTTCCAAACAAGAAACCACAGAGTATGGATGTGAAGTATAAGTGCTAATCTGAGCACTGAGTGATGATCTTTAAATTCTGAATACAAAATATAGCCTACCAGGCTAAAATGACATAACATTCCCTACAAAGTAGCCAATCCTGTGCCCTAATGAACAAATTACTGTTATTTCTCTTATCCTGTTTGGAAATCCTTTATCCCCCAGGGAATTGGTTTCTTAATTGACTCTTATGTACGCATGTGTACGTGTCTATAATAAAATTTTGCTGAAGTGCTTTCTTCATCTGCTTTTTTCTTTGAAAACCTATCAATTCATTTTTAATCTTCACAACAACCAAAGAAATAGATGCTATCATTGGCCGTATTTTAGTGATGGGAGGCACAGAGAAGCGTCACACTGTTCAAGCGGGAGTAATTCCCCCAGCTGCACGCAGCCTGCCCAGGGACCCTCACTTTTCCTGCTTTGCTTTGCCCTTTCTCTCCCTACCCAACCCCCCTCCTCAGAAGTTCTCTATTCAGTATACCAGGTCCTTGGAGTCTCTTCTCTTCTGAGCTACTAAATGAACAGAAATGTTTATTTAGTGTCCATTGTGGCAGGATGGTAAGGGGACCTTTGGGGCCACACAAGGCTTACTGCATCTCTCACATAGTGCCAAGCAGGTCCCTGCCTGCCCCCATAGACTCAATATAAACCCCTCCTTACTGCCCCAATGGGAGTGGCCCAGTGTCCTCCCCCACAGGAGGGCCATCACTACCAGAGGACATGTGTGCTACCCCTCCCCCGTGCTCGAACACTCACCATTGGATACAGAGAGGTGGATGGGGTCACTGACAGGTGCTCCCCGTGTCTGGCATCGATACACCCCTGGTGTCTGCACCTCGATGCTCTTCTTGTGAGAGGGCAGGAGTAGGTGGCCCAAATACCAGAGAGTGCTGATGGGTCGGAGCTCCAGGAGCAGAGGGTGGTACCCATCACACCGCAAGGTTACCCTTTCCCCCTTGAAGATTGTGGTCCAGGGTGGGTGTAGAGACAATATGGGCTTCTCCAGAGTAGCTGGGAGGGTGGGGTATGGGAGGGTGCAATGTGAAAAAGAGAGTCAAGGTGAGGTGGCCAAAGATGAGGTCTGAGGTTGGGAAATCTCAGAAAATGCTAGCTTCCAGGACCCATCCCTGCGAGAGGAGAGACCACATTGGGCTACAAACTAGTCTCCTGCTCAGCACCATTTCTAAGTGCCAGTGCCTACAGGCAAACTGAGTCACTGGGATTGAGGAGCCATGAGAAGAGTCACTACCCCAGAACAGCTAAGAAGTGGGGAGTACCCAAGCAGGTCACTTAGGATGGTTGGAGTGGAAGTTGTAGAAAATCTGGATGAGGGATGTGTAAGACTCACCAGCTTGCCCACTGCTTGGAACTGCAAAACAAGAAATAAAGAAGCAAGAAGAAGGAGAATGTTGGAGATGAGAGGAAAGAAAGGGACTCACTTGACCATAGGAAGGATTCAACAAGTCTCAAGACCTGTTTTTCTTCTGCCTTTATTTCTCTCAGCTCTCAGAAATCCCCTTCCTCTTTTCCTCTCCAAAGATAGATAACGAATCGAGGATTGAATATTCCCGCAACACACACACACACACACACACACACACACAGAAATACCCTGGCCCCCACTCTTCCCCACACCCAAAGTCCTTATGCCGCTGTTACCTCATTGAGGACTCACCCAGGAGCAGGAGGGCTGTCAGTTCCCACATGATGGATGGAGATGCACTGGCATGGGATGGGGGAAGGGAGAGAGAGAAGATGGCCAGTGCTGACCACTGAGTACTCGGAGACACTGCTGCTTCTCCCACCCATTTCTAATTCCTGAAGACGGTGGACTGGAGAGAGCAGGAGACAGGCTGGGTACGTGTCAACTCTCAGGTGTCCCAAGCACCAAACATTGTCCCACCTACACCCCCTGAAGCCACCTCACATCTCAGGCCAGCCCCAGCTCCTCCTGAGCAGAGTCTGTGCCCTTTTCAGCCCACGAAAGCCACACAGAACCCCAGACTCTGGCAGGTGACCCTGCCACCTTCAGGCTCCCAAAAACAGCCCACTCCCATCCCACCTCCTCCCCATCCTCCAGCAGGCTCCATAAGCCTCAATTGAGAAAGACATCTTCATGTGCTTGAGGTCCACCCAGGATGTTTATTCTGCTCACTTCCTGCTGACAGACATTGGTGTGAGGCCTAGTGAGGTTGACACTGCATTGCGTTCACCTAGGGTTCACATCCTCCCATGGGTGAATAGAAAAGCATGACTCACCAACCACCTTCTCTGTCACTGTCTTACAGTGTCACAGTCAAGAATAGAAATGTTATGTTTCCCCTTTCTCCCTTCCTGAAACCTTAAACCTTCAGAAATTAGAAAACACTTCTTTCCTACCCATCCCAATGCTCTCACCCTATAGCATCTCCACTCACTTGTGCCTTCCTTCCTTTCATCTGTCCCCAACCATGCCCCAGTTCTAATAGTCCTTACCTGTGTTAGAGAAGTCACTGCATCAGCCCCTTAGAAGCTTCTCAGAACTGTCCTCCCAACTCTACTGCTTGTGCTTTCCAAGCCATGTGATCATACCCTGAGCAATGGGGAACCTGAATTCTCCTGTAAATACTTAATGAATTTTCCAACCTGATAGTATGTCTCCTTGGGCCATCTTCTGTCCTCACCCGTGGCTGTTTAATACTGGGGCATCTCCTTCCCTTGGAGCTCTGGCAGGGAGGAGATCCATTATCAGACCCTGTCAACTCTCTTAAAGACAGCCCCTTCCCCTCTTCCTTGCTGATGCCCAAAACTTCCATCGGAGAATTCCCTCATAGTTTCTCTTAATGTGCTAGTCCTTGTTAAAATGCAGGTGGCCCTTAGGGAAATGTGATTGGTCCTTTAAATTAAGCTGGTCACTTCAGATCCTGTTTTGAGAGCATGTGTTGATAAAAGAGAGATAGAGTCATATGGGTCTGAACAGTAGGGAGGTAATTGATAAGGTGCTCAGGAGTGGGGGAGGGAGGGAACTAGATACCAGGAACAGAGATTATAACTTGCCTGCTTTGGGAGGGGCCAGGTTAGGCAGTGCCCCCAGCTTCCCCACCTCCCGCCTGATGCCTCATCTGGGGCCTGTGTGGGCCTTCCCACATCATTCACAACCTGCCCCCAAGGTCTAACCTCTGCACCAGGTCACCACCTCTATGATATGAATGTAATGCACCCATCAGCTGTGCCTTAGTCTACACAAGCCGACACCATTTTGGCTTCTTATCACTCAGAAGATGGATCTCAGCCTCTTCACCTGATTCCATAAGAAACTTTTTTGTTTTTAAAGTCATTGGAGGTGATTCATGTATTTAGGCAGTTGAGTTGTTTTTTTTTTTTTTTAATATTTATTTGGCTGAGCCGGGTCTTAGTTGCAGCACGCAGGATCTTTTTTTTTTTGAGTTGCAGTTTGCAGGATCTTTTTAGTTGCAGCATGTGGGATCTAGTTCCCTGACCAGGGATCAACCCGGGCCCTCAGCATTGGGAGCACAGAGTCCTAACCACTGGACCACCAGGGAAGTCCCTCCATAAGAAACTTGTTTGCACTCAAAATTCGTGAGGTGTCCGATCTTCCCTGCAAATCTCTAGCATCACCCATAGGGTTCATATCATACAGTGCTCAAATTTTGGCTTGAAGAATGTCCCACCCACACTTCTTTATTCTAGGCTTTCTTCTGAATTCTTCCCAAATTGTATCTTTTTCTCCATTCAGGACTTTTCCCTGCAGAATTTCTAATTCTTCACGCCTTTACTATGCAAGAAATTTAACAGTTATCATTTGTTACCTGAGCAATTGTTTGAAGCCTATCACGACATAATTTCTGGACAAGATATGCCGTCATCTGATAAGAATTCTGAGGAACAAGACGTTTTCAGTGATGATAATGGAATATTGCTGCTGTTGCTATTGATGATGACGCCAGCTTACTTTCAGTGAGTACTGCAGCCGTGAGCATGTCACCTGCACCAGGCCAAGTGCTTCACAGATGTTACTTTATTTAATCCCCTCGAGAGCCCTTTAAGGAAGGATTATTATTATCTCCATTTTACATGTGTGGAAACTGTGGTGATAGAACTGGAATTTGAATAGAAATCTGTCTCACTCTAAAATCTGCTCTCTCATGCTCACGGCAGACTGTCATCACTAGTCTTTTCAAGTCTCCTCTCTTGTTTTATTATTTTTTACCTTCATTCACATTACCATTCTCTCCCCCACATGAGTACCCACTATATAATGTTTACAATCCTTTATACATGCACATACTTTCGCTTGAGAAATATTTTGTATTATTAATTTACATAAATGGTATTGTGTTTTAGATATTATTTTCTCTTTTAGAACAAAAGCCAGGGTTTAGAGGAATTTGCCTCTTTTTTTTTTTTTTTTTCCTCCCTCAATGATTGAGCTGAGACATCTCACCTCATCTTCTCCGGCCCTTGAACTGGGATTTACATCATTGACTCCCCTGGTTCTCAGGCCTTTGGATTCAGACTAAATTATCCTCTCCCCTGATCTGCAGACGGCAGATCATGGGACTTCTCAGCTTCCATAATCTCGTGAGCCAATTCCTCATACTCAACTTTCTCTCTCTCTCTCTCTCTCCCCCAGCCCCTGACAACCACCATTCTACTCTTTGCTTCTACAAGTTTGGCTATTTCAGATCCCACACATAAATGAGATCATGCAATATTTGTCTTTCTGTGTCTGGCTTATTTCACTTGGCATAATGTCTTCCAAGTTCATCCATATTGTTGTGAATGGCAGGATTGTCTTTTTTTTAATGGCTGAATAATATTCCATTGTGTGTATAATATATATATAATACATACAATATATAGTGTATATAATATAGTATATATACACATATATCACATTTTCTTTATCCATTCATTTGTTGACATTTAGGTTGTGTTCGCATCTTGGCTGTTGTAAATAATGCTGCAATGAACATGGGAATGCAGATGTCTCTTTGAGATACTGACTTCACATCCTTTAGATATATATCCAGAAGTGGGATTACTGTTCATTAGGCAGTTCTATTTTTAATTTTTTGAGTAATCTCCATACTGTTTTCCATAGTGGCTGCACCAATTTGCATTCCCACCAACAGTGCACAAGTGTTCCGTTTTCTCCACAGCCTTGCCAACACTTGCTATCTTTTGTATTTTTGATAAGAGCCATTTTGACAGGTGTGGGGTGATATCCTATTGTGGTTTTAATTTGCATTTCCCTGATGATTAGTGACATAGAGCACCTTTTTATAATATCTACCCATTGGCAATCTGTATGTCATTTTTTGAGAAATGTCTATTCAGATTCTTTGCCCATTTTTTAATCCAGTTATTGGTTTTTTTGCTATTAAGTTGTTTGAGTTTCTCATATATTTTGGATGTTAACCCCTTATCAGATACAGGGTTTGCAAATATTTTCTCCCATTTCACTCTGTTGATTATTTCCATTGCTGTGCAGAAGCTGTCGCTTCTTCTCATAGATGTACAAAGGAATAAAGAAACATGTAATATAGCCAACTTAGACTTTTAAAAAGCATCCAATTAAAAGCATTAAAATGGTTGACCTGAAGTTGAGGTCAAAATTATTTTATTATACCTAGAGAACTGACTTAGGAATAGAAAAGTAAATGGGTTCTTCTCTTCAGAAATGCATAAATATTGGGATCTCTGAGAGTAGTGTCAGGCTGGACTTTAAGAATGATCTAGTTCAATAATTCTCACTTTGGTCTGTAGATACCTGGGGGTTCTAATGACCCTTTAAGGGGCCTGCAAAGTCAAAACTATGTTTATAATAATACTAAGAGGTTACTTGCCTTTTTCACTAGGTTGACACTTGCACTGATGGCATAAAGCAACAGGGGATAAAACTGCTAACTCCAAAGCACAATTTAAGGCAGTGGCACCAAACTGTATGTTTCACCGTTATGTTATGCACTCGCAGTAAGAAATCAAAACCAAAACAAAACCTTGATGAAATAATTTAAAAAATTAATTTTATTAAATTTTGAGCTCAAAATATACATATTTTTAATATTCTGTGTGATGAAATAGGAAGTATGCACTTCTGTACTGAAGTACAAAGGCTGTCTTCATTGAAAGCTGTTACACAATTGAGTTCTGAGCTGAACCAGAACAAGCTACTCTTTTTCTCGGAATACCATTTTTAATTGAAAGAATGACTAAAACATTGGTCATTCAGACTTGGGTATTTCTCAGACATTTTCTCAAGAGTGAACAAAATGAGTCTGTCACTTCAAGGAAAACATCTGACAGTAATTATTGCCAATGATGAAACTCAAGCTTTCAAATGAAAATTAGAATTTTGGGAAAATTTGTATTCATGATCATGATCTTGACAGCTTCCCAGTAAGTGAAGACTTTTCTGAAGATATCGGTGGTGATATTACATTCGATTTTTAAAATATTGTATATACTGAGATGGTATCAACGTTTGAAAGATCTGTATAACTTTGTGAACAAATATTTTCAACCGACCAATGCATGGGTGAAAGATCTGTTTAAAGTACAAGAAGGACCAATGAATTTTAATGTAACAGAGTAAGAAACACTTGTTGCTATGGTTTCAGATTCCATAATGCAACTCCTGTTTAAGAAACTACCCCTTGTCGAGTTTTCAGGAAGCATCAAAGAAGAATATCTACAATTATATAAAAAGGCTCTTAAAATGCAACTACAAATCTATGAGGCGGGGTTTTCTTCATAAGCTTCCATTGAACTCTCCTTGGAGAGCAGAGATCATGTTAAATTTGTCTTCTTTTTTTCTTATAGAACCTTGCACAGTACTTTGCACATAAATGTCAAATTAAATGAAGGTGCTTCTGTACTGACAAAAATTAGCTGTCTTGTCTGGCTGGGAAAATGTGTGAAACATCTACAGTCATGTCTTTAAGGTTAACAAAAAAATGTTCACCAAATCCAAAAATAGTAAGGGTATACTGGGGGCAATCTTTAGTAAGTTAGGGTTACTTGGGGATCAGTAAAGGAAAGAACTACTTCATACTGTAGGTAATAAACTTGGCTTCTTATTACCGCTAAGAAAAGACAATGGCAGAAAACAAAAAGGAATTTGAAGATGATTTAGAGAAATATATATATATATATATATTTAAGGAGGCCTAAATTCCTACTCTGAGAAGATTTTAAAAATTAATAATTTAGGGCTTCCCTGGTGGGGCAGTGGTTAAGAATCCGCCTGACAATTCAGGGAACACGGGTTCGAGCCCGGGTCCGGGAAGATCTCACATGCCACAGAGCAACTAAGCCCGTGAGCCACAACTACGCTCTGAGCCTACATACCACAACTACTGCAGCCCACACGCCTAAAGCCCATGCTCCACAACAAGAGAAGCCCGTGCACTGCAATGAAGAGTAGCCTCCTGCTCGCCGCAACTTAAAAAACCCGCGCGCAGCAACGAAAACCCAATGCAGCCAAAAATAAATAAATAAAATACATTTTTAAAATTAAAAAAAGTAATAATTATATCTACCTGTGTGCTCCTCCCCGATGGTTTCTCCCATTAGCCCCTCAGAGGTAACTACTATCCTGACCTTGGTGTTTCCATTTTTGTGCCTTTTTAAAAAGGTTTATCGTAGGTATGAGTGAATGGTTAAGCAATATATTCCTTTGTATAAAGGGCATCACACCATATGGTATCTTCTGGGACTTGCTTTTTTCACTGAATGTTAATATTCCTGATATTCTTTTATGTTGCTGCATTGTAGCTAGGGTTCATTTATTCTACTGTGGTATAGTATTCTGTTCTGTGAAGCTAGCACAACTTATCCATTTTTTCATTGGACAACTGAATTGACTCCAAAGTTTTGATTTTACAAATAGTGCTATTATGAACATTATTGTATTTGTCTTCTGGTGTACATGTACTCGGCATATATATCCGGGCATGGAATTCTGGGTTATAGGGTATGCAAGTATTCGCCTTTACAAGATAATAGATGTGCTTTGTATCTAATGTTTATTTCAGAGATAACATCCAGTGTAGCTGCATTAGGACCTCTGTGGGTTACAGAATCCTAAACTGCACAGGTCATAAACCCAATCTAGTATAACAATTCCTCTTTCCCACCCCCTCTCCAACTTCCCCAGGACAGGTAGAGACAGATAAAAGCTCTCTCTCTCTGCCTCTCTGTCTCTCTCTCTTCATTCTTTCAGTTATGTTCTTGCCTTCCTCATCCCTGATGATAACAGATTCTCTCCCTGAGGCTTCCAAGCTCCTGGCCAAATCTGGGCCCCCTGGGGAGAATCTGGAGATTTTGCTGATGCCAGACATACCACTCGTCCTTTAAGGTTCAGCTTAATTCCCATCTTCTTCAGGATGCCTTCCCTTATTATGCTGACCCAATTCAATTCAATGAAACAAAATTTACAAGAGTTTAAATATGCCTCATTAAACTAGACACCAATGAGTCAATGTAGATCAGAGAGCTCAAGGAGCTCTCAAAGTGTTCACCCTCTAGTGAACAGAAATAAGATAGTAAAAAATTAAAATGCAGTGTGACGATAGAGGTCCACACAGACACATGGATGACGAGTACAGAAGTGAGACACTTAGTCAGCTGCACCCACTTCTTCCTTTCTTGATCTAGGTTAGCTTTTATTGTCTGGACATGACTTCCTTATTTAGCATGAGCTTGCAGGATGCATTCATGAACATGGTACCATTAGCTGAAATCAATTCCATGTAGAATGGTTATAACATAGTATCTTTGGAGATCCAACATAGTCCACTGGCAGTTAAGCTTCCACTTTGGTCACCCACCAAATGACGTATCTCTGGTCATCATTTCTTGCAACTCCCATTCATACAGTTGTTAATCGATCCTCTCACGCTGCAGTGATATTTGTGGACTTTTACCAATTTCCAGTTTCTTTCTCATCTTTCCACTTGAAGGTGTTAGGAGCCACCATAAAACTGGCATTTTAGAGGGAGCATTTAGAGGAACCACCATAAAACTCAAGTTTTAACATCCAGCATGATTCTGTTCCTTTATTTCTTTGTGGCATGTCTGGACCGATCACAGGTACATATTTTGTAAATAACTGTGGGTCCAAACTATACACAGAATAAATGGCACAAAGAAAAAGTACACTGGATAACCTCATACCACATGATTTAGGAGAAACGTGGTAGAACGCTCTTTGGCTGAGGTCATGAAATGGTGTGCTAATTCACTGACCAAAACTTCCTGTAGAATCTGGCAGGCTCGCTCTCATTGGCTGAGAATATACAATAGCAGTCCAAGCATAGAAAATAAAGTATTACTATGGTACCAAAATAGATTTATGTATATTTTTAAAGAAAACTATTTCAGAGATGGATTAAAACAAATAATTGCTGCTCTGGCATTGTTCTACTCGATCACATGTTTCTGAGTCCACTAGGATCCTATGGGAAATTTTTCTATACCCTGCTTTAATTGTTTAATGGGTAGGAGTATTACTGCCCCTCCATCCCAAATTGTAAACTTTCTATAGACAGAGACACTGTCTTATGGGTATACTTAACATAGCATCAACTTGGGCATGTAGCAGAGGCCAACAAAATACCAGCACGTAATTAATATTTGCTGAATAAGGCTAGGAGGAGAGAATAAGTAGAAGAAGCAAAGGTCCACCCCAGAGTCCAACACCTCCATTAGGCTGGGGTTTCCCAACCTCAGCACTATTGACATTTTGGACCAGATAATCCTTTGTTGTGGAAGGCTGTTCTGTGTATTATAGGATGTTTAGCAGCATCCCCAGCTTCTACTCACTAGACACCAGGAGCACACGCTCCCTGCAATGTAACAATCAAAAATTTCTCCAGACATTGCCAAATGTCCCCTAGGGTGGGGAGGGATTGCCCTTGGTTGAGATTGCTGCATTAAATCTATCATCTCATTGCTTCTCTTTCAATCACCAGATTCTGGTCTGGGCAACAGAAGGCAACTCCTGGTCTAGATAGAGCAGGAATATGTTGTCATGTTCAGGGAGAATATACAATTATAGCTAAACTCTAATTACCACTTTGTACACGTTTATTTATACTCACCTATCCCTGTTAACTCTAGCGAAACACTGGGCAGCTTGTAAAACTACTTATGCTTAAGTATGGAACAGAAAGAGGACAACTAGAAAGAGTTGGATTTATTGGGGGTAGTTGAGCAACACGGCAGGTGAATTATTTACTAATATTTGGCAGGATCCTTTGTGGCCTGAAGCTTCAGGTGGCTGGACAAGTCCCTCAGCTCCATGACCAGGTGACCAAGGATGACCCTCATATCCTGTATTTGTTTGAGGAGAACACGCATCTGGTGATGCAGATGGGGATCTGGGAAGTGCAGAGGAGAAGAGGAGCCCAGATCCTTAGAAGAAGGGGTGGGCAGTGGAGGCAGAGGCCCAGGGGGCTCCGTAGAAGTAGTTTCTGGAGCAGCTGATTTCTGAGGAGCTGGATTCAAGGTGGGGGGTGCAGCAGAGCTGGAGGGACCTGGATTATGGGATAGGAGACACAGACAAGAGTGAAGTCTGACTCTGGCCCTACCCTCATATTCCTGGTCAGTCTTTCTTATTCTCTGAAAATAGCTGTGGGGCCCAATGGCAACAAAATCTTGAGGACTCTGGTCCAAATTTGAATGTGAAGCATAGTTACTTCTGCTTGAAAATCTTGCACAATGAAGCCTCATCATTAGAGGACTATGGATATTAGCCAGTTCTTCCCCTTTCAGTCTAATTCCTTACAACATGCATGTGGTAACTGGTCCTAGGTCAACCTCTTATTGTATATGCCATTAGTGTAATTCCTTACCCTTGTGCCAGCCTTCAGTGTTTTGAGGACACCTCTGCTGGCCCCTCGAGTCACCTCCTCTTCAGAATGAGCATCTCCCATTCCTCCCATTATTTTCCTTCTGACATGACCCAAGCGCCCTCACTACCCTGGACACCTCCTCTGGGTATATTTCAGGTCAAATGCAGCCTTCTTAATGGGGACTCCCAGAATTGAATAAGAACTCCAGACTACTTCGTCCTCACAGTAGATACTATATTCCTACAAATGCCCAGAGGTCGTGTAGGGAGTGTAAAGTCTATGGGGAAGCAGCTGTGGAGTTGGCTCAGGTCTTCGTTTGATGAGGTATACGCCACAGTCTGAGGGAGAAGTTTCCTATTTGTGCTTTCTTCCATCACTAGGGACTCTGGCTTATGGTTCCTGCCTCCCATGTGTCCTTTCTTAACCTGCTTACAGTGAACCTTAGCTCAAAAACCCAGTTGTCCTATTCCCCCCCTACCCCTGCCTTTTCACACACACCAGACATATACACACTAACTCACCCTGCACCCTGATCTCCAGCTTGGGGCTCTGTTTCCAAACTTGGTTGTCCTCAGTGGCTGCTTCACACCAGTAGGACCCAGAGTGTGCCTCTGAAGCAGTAGGGATCTGGAATTCTGAGGAAGGGCCCCTGCTACGCACTGTCCTGCTGTCCTTGTAGAAGGAGAAGAGGAGGTGGGCAGCTGACCTCTGCAGGGGCAGCTTTGTCTGACAGCTCAGGGTTACCGGGCTTCCCTCTTGGGGCTCAGCTGAAGGTGTGGCTCTGAGAACCGGGGCTCGAAACAGTTCTGGGGGAGAGATAGGTGAGGAAGAAGAGCTCAGCCATCCTACATTCAGGTGGACCCATGACAGGCAAAGACCCCCAGTCACACTTTCCTTCCCCTATTTCTATCGGGAAGGAGTTCTCTTAGAGAAGTTCCCATTTGAAACTTTCAAGTCCTATCTCTCTTCAATAGACAGGACTAGAAAAGATCTAGAGATGGGCACATCTGACCGTAATCCAGACGCCTAGTCAGTGAACATTGGGAAGCATAGAACTGTAGGACAAAGCAGCAGGAAACATGCTGAACTTGGAGTTGGGCTAAATGACTTGAAAAGGCGATGCTAAGATGCTGCCCCTTTTGAAGCCCAACTTGGACATTTGTCAGCAACCTACTCCTTAACCCTTCAGTGACCTTACCATCTCCAGTGAAAGACATTTCTGGTCCCTCTGTCTCTCCCCACCTGCCTCTGCCACAATGACACGGCCTCTAGCTCTTACCTTGAACTGTGATAGCCACGGGAGATGCCGTTTCTGGGCTCCCAGGACCAGGGCTCCTGAAGATAGCACTGCAGTGGTAGTGCCCGCTGTCTGCCTTTCGCGCCACGGCGATGGAGAATTCCTTGTTAGGTCCAGGGGGACCCAGGGCTGAGCCATCTTGGTAAAAGGTGACCTGGGTCAGTGGCCAGTCTTGCCAGGCCTGGCAGCGCAGAACCAGAGGGTCTCCCTCAAATATAGGCCAGGTTGGACTTTGGAGGATCAGCCAGTCTGCGGTCCAAAGCAAGAGCTGAGTGTGACCCACTGCCTTCCTTGGGAGCTCCCTCAGTGCTGCCCACAACAGACCACTCTAATCTTTCTCTGAGGGGCCAGGTAACTTTCACCACTGGTTGGGAGTATGGAACAATTTCTCTAGGGCCTAGCACAGAGGGCACCCTGGCTTCTTGGGCTGAAGATGGGGCAGATGATATCTCATCCCCTGGCCAGTTTCAGGGGGCACCTTCCTGAGTGGGCTGTGGGGCTGAAAGGAGAACTTTGGCAAATGGGAGAAAGACCTGGCCTGCACTGGTCAGTCCTTCCTGGGACCTCACCGTAGGACACAATCAGATGGAAGGGTTCACTGAAAGTGTAGCCCTTGACCTGGAAGTCGACTTCCCTTGGGTCCGTCAAGTCATCCTCAGTGTGGCAGCTGCCCTCCTGGGTGCTGACAGGTCCTTCGCACTGGAGCGCCTCAAAACCGGCAGCTGGGGAGGGCATGGTCCGAGAAGAACCAGAAAATGATGCTGTGATTGGAGAAAGAGGACAGGAAATTGCTTTCCGCAAGAGTTCCTCCCTCTCCTCAGGGAATTATATTTTTTAGAGTGGAATAGGAAGACATCAAAACATTTTTTCCAAGAGACCCATATGGATCTCTCGGAGGGGTACAGCTGACTTGATTCACTGGCTTCCAGGTGCTGTCAGTGAACGGACTGTGGTTTGAAGAAGGGGTGCGGGGGAGAGAATGGTGAACTCACCAGCATGACATCCAGCTGCAGGGCAGGAAGCCAGAGGCCAAAGACAACGAGGACCCCAGAGCCGGCAGACACAGGACAGGAGGGAAAGGGAGATGATCAGATTCTAACATTTGTTGGGTGTTTACCACATACCAGACACTGCCAGCCATGTTCACACCTTATCACACAAATCTTGCAAGATTTCTAGGTATGTGATTTCACTCCCATTTTATAAATCTTAAATGAAACAGGTTTAGAAAAGTCAATTCGTTGACCCCCAGTTTAAAAAGAGAGTAGGGAGTGGAGCAAGAAACTCAGGTATGTCTGAGTCCAAAATCAGTGTTCTTTTTACTTCATTGTTCAGACATGATCTACTTTAGTCTTCAGACCTTCCTTGGGGACTTTCTTCCAAATTTTCAATTCCCCAAATTCACTTGGTTCTTCATCCTTGAACATGTTATCTACAAACTAGCTTTTAGTATCTTCTTCCTTGCTCCCCCTTTCAGGTCTTCCTTTTTCAGCCATCTCTAACTTAATGTCCTCTGTCCCTTGAACTTTCCCTGGCAACAGTAGAGTCCATCCCGTGTCTTTCTCTCTACACCTGAACCTCTACTCTCAGTCTGTACTGGTAACTATGGAACAATTCTTTCTTTGCTTGGGGTTGAATAGAGTTACAGATTTCTCACCACATGTCTCCTCAACCTATCTCTTAGTTCCATGGTTGACCAAGGCAAGGTAAATTTCTCCCATCTCCACGACTGCTTCTTGTCCCTTATAATGCCTCTCTTCCTCTTCTGGCTCCATGGTCATTAACATGTACTCAGTTATTCACTCTGTCCTTTCCTATCCTACTTGCTTTTGTTCCCTTCCACTTCCAAAGGCCCAGGACTCTTCTTTGACCTTGTAACCTCCCTTAGCAAGGCCCCTCTCTACTTCCTAATTCTCATTAAATAGTACCAAGTACTTTCTTTAGATCCTCTCTCAGCTCCCTTCACCACTCTGCTACCCATTTTCAGTTCCTCCACTGTCACTCAACTAGACTCAGCCTCCTGTCTTTTTCTAAAATAAAATACTGTTGGGCTATCAGGCACTTTCACTCAATAAACTATGTAGTAGTTGTTATTATTCTCATTTTATGGATAGGAAAACCAAATTCAGAAATATGAAAAGTGACTTTTTCAAAGTGGCATAGAGCTGGTAACTAAAAGAAGAGGGGCTTGAAAACAGAGCATCTGATTCCATGTCTAGAGTTCTCACAACAATACCACTGCTGTATCTTAATACAGTCACCCAGTCCTGTCTCTATGAGTTCAATAAAACAACTCTTGTGCAGGGATAAAGCAGGTGCTGAGAATTCAAAGATAAATAAGAGAAAGTTAAAAAACAAACAAAAAGGCATTGTCCCTGCCTACAAATAACTCTCAGTTCAGTGGATGCACAGGCATGGGAAGAGATTGTTTCAGCACAAGGAAGAAAGTAATATGAAAGAATTATCACAGGTAGCCATCAAAGCAGAGAGGAGGGTTCAAGGAAGATTTCCCGGTAAAGATGCCACCTAAGCTGAGTCTTTAGGGATGCCAAGAGTCTGTAAGTGAGAGAGGAATAGGGAGCGATGGGGAGAGCTCATTTCAGGCAGAGGTAGCAGTATGAGCAAAACTTTGGAGATAGGTAAGGGTCTGGTGTGTGAATATAAGCAAGTTGGGATTTATTAGAGAATAAATTGCAAGGCTCAAAGGGTGAGAGAAGAAGCTGAAAGGTTTTAAAAGATGCCAAGTTACGGTGGACCCTTAATGCCATGATAAGTATCTTAGGCTAGCAGACTTGGATTTTAGAAATCACTCTGGCTGCAGAGTGCAGAATGTATTTCAAGGACACAAGGCTGAGATATGAAGATTAGTTAGGAAGCTGTTGGTCTAGCCCAAGACAGAAATGATGAGGGCTTGTCCTAGGATACCGTTAGTTATGTTTCAGGGAAGAGACGGGCTCTAAGACCAACTTAGAAGGTAGACATTGCCAAACTTGATAATTGATCATGTGTAGAGGATGAAGGAGAAGGAGGAATCTAGGTTGTCTCCCAAGTTTTTGACCAGGATATCAGGGTGGATACCATTAACTGAGATCAGAAATAGTGAAAGATGAAATTAGGAGAATTCCCTTGTGGCCTAGTGGTTAGGATTCTGGGCTTTCACTGCCATGGCCTGGAGTTCAATCCCTGGTCAGGGAACTGAGATCCCACAAGCCCGCAAGCAGTGTGGCACAGCCAAAAAGAAGATGAAATTAGGAGAGGGAGGGACCAAGAGGACAGAGCTCTGGTCATATTGTGCTGAGATACCTTGAAACATACAGGTAGCTATGTCTTGTGCAAAGCTTGATGTTTGAATGTGAAACTCAAAAGCATGATTAGGGTTGGAGATATGACTTAGACCTCTTAATTATAGAGTTGTAGTGGTAAAAATTATACAGACAAATAGCTTACTAAGGAGACTGTAAATTAAAAAGTAGGGAGGCAAGGATACAACTGTAGAAAACACCAGTCTTTAAGAGAAAGAGGGACTTCCCTGGTGGCGCAGCAGTTAAGAATCCGCCTGCCAATTCAGGCGACATGTGTTCAAGCCCTGGTCCGGGAAGATCCCACATGCCGCGGAGCAACGAAGCCTGTGCGCCACAACTACTGAGCCTGCATGCCACAACTACTGAAGCCCATGCACCTAGAGCCCACACTTCACAACAAGAGAAACCACCGCAATGAGAAGCCCGTGCGCCAGAATGAGGAGTAGCCCTCGCTCGCCACAACTAGAGAAAGCCCATGCACAACAACGAAGACCCAATGCAGCCAAAAAAAAAAAAAATTTAATTAATTAATTAATTAAAATAAATAAATAAAATAAAAATTTTTTTAAAAAAAGAGAAAGAGAAGCCACCAAAGGGACCAAGCGAGATACATGGAGTACAGGGAGAAGCCAGGGGAGTAGAGATTGCCGAGGAAGAATAACTGATCAACAGTGCCCAATACAGAGAAGCCCAGCAGGATAAGATTTTAAAAATGTGCAGTGTTGGGCTTCCCTGGTGGCGCAGTGGTTGAGAGTCTGCCTGCCAATGCAGGGGACACAGGTTTGTGCCCCGGCCCGGGAAGATCCCACATGCTGTGGAGCAGCTGGGCCCGTGAGCCATGGCCACTGAGCCTGAGCGTCCAGAGCCTGTGCTCCACAATGGGAGAGGCCACAACAGTGAGAGGCCCGCGTACCGCAAAAAAAAAAAAAAAAAGTGCAGTGTCAGTATAAAGGTCATAGCACCCTGACCAAAACTTCCAGTGGAAGTTTCCAGTGGAAGCCAGACTGCAAGCATTGAGGAGTGAGTGAAAAGTGGGGAAGTGGAGAAAGCAAGTTCAGACTACTCTTTCAAGAAATTTATCTGAGAAAAGGAAGAAAAGAACTGAGATAGTAGCTAAAGAAGACATCATAGTCAAGGGGACTTTTAGGATGGAAAAACTTTGAAGATTTTTATATTCAGAAAGAGCCATTCAGTCCTGCACACCAAACTTGCTTATACTATCCTTCTTATCCCACCTGAACACGGCTTCTTTGGAGGGCTGAAGTTAGTCCCTGCTTCTTTCCTTTGGGTCTTTTCCCCAAAGTCAGGAATATCTCCATTTCCACACATTCAAAGATTTTACTTACCCAGTAGCATCTGGGCTGCCCAGAGCATAGCAGGAGAAAAGTAGAAGACCCCAGCCATGAGGACACAGCCCAGCTTCATGGTGACTGTGTTTAGGTCCCCTGCAGCTTCTAACACACTGATTTTCTTCAACACGATACCTCTCAAATTAGAAAAGAGGAAGTAAATCTAACTGTCTGATCTCCTTTCATATGGGACCTATTTTAAAATTTTATTTATTTATTTGTTTATTTATTTATTTATTTTTGGCTCTGCCAGGTCTTAGTTGTGGTGCGCGGGCTTCTCTCTAGTTGTAGCGCGCAGTCTCCAGAGTGCGTGGGCTCGATAGTTGCGACGCACGGGCTTAGTTGCCCCGAGGCATGGGGGATCTTAGTTCCCCAACCAGGGAACAGACCCTGCATCCCCTGCATTAGAAGGTGGATTCTTAACCACTGGACCACCAGGGAAGTCCCTGCGGCCTATTTTCAACTTTGCAATCAGCTTTCATCCTTCAGATTAACCAGGTGGGTTCCAGCATCAATAGCACACTTAGGGTTGTGGATGAAATGATAGCCCTCTCAATTGTTCAAAAATTCCCCCATAGAGTTCAGAGACCTTCCAAAGCACACAATTGTCTGATACCCACCAGCCTTCACAAACTCTGGAAAAGGTCAGTACAACAATCATCCATTTCACTGATGAAATAACTGGGGACAGGAGGCAGGAAATTGCTTGAAAGCTACCCAGAAAGTCACAGGGAGAGCAATGGTGAGAATTCAAGTGTCCTACCCTGTCCTGCTCCAAGCCTTACATGTTTCTAGTAACCAGACTACAGCAGGACAGAACAGGGAGGAAGATTGGTAATGGCACCAAATTAGATATCAGATTAGTCCCCTGGTATGATCCTACCATCCAAAGCCCACACAAATTTGTACATAAATTTTTCTAGACTCATACCTCAACTCTCTGTTTCTACAGTATGACTAAGGCTATTCAGTCTCAGTGGAAATCTGAGTACAAGGCAGAGAGAGTCCCCTGGGAAAGAGCAGAGGGAAAAAGAAAGTCGATTTCCAGAGGACCTAGCAGTAAGCCCAGGCCTCAGGCGCATGACCAAAGTACAAACCACTGATCCTGAAGAAATTAGAGACAGAAGGCATCCGATAGCTTGAGAAACCTGAGGAGGGTCAGGAATAGGGGCAATATGGAGGCCACAGCATCTCTCTTCAGTTCCAGGGTGCCTTATGGGAATCATTGTCCCTGCCTCCGAACGTTTGCTGTTTGACTGAGGTCTCCTCAACGGCAGGGCCCATGCATTTTTTCACAGGGACCACACTCCTCTCCCCTCCCCATCATAATACCCACCAGGCCCTCAGATGGTTACTTGGGGATGAAATGAGCCATCATAAATGGGGGAAGGCAGTCCTGCCTGAAGGCAGAAGGAGGGCCAGCGTGACCCTTCAACCGTGCAAAAACCACACGTCAGAACAGACATATTAGCAACGGAGGCATCAGAGAGTGGATACTTCTCGATCTAAAATAAGAATTTAGAATAAATTTTCCATTATCTGAGAGACAAATGTTTTTTTGCAGGTGGCCCCGGGGAATCTGGTGAGAGTAGGGGTTGAATATGGGTGTGAGGGAAGGCAGTGAGGCAGTAAGCCTTGCAGGTGATGTGATGTGATGTGAAAGAACCAGCAGCCTCAGAAGAGGAAGAGAAGTCTGGGCCAGACCTAATGAAAATGAAGAAAATGAAATGTGTTTAGATGGACCTCCACCCCCAGCACTCCCTAAAATATAGACTCTCAGAATTAGGTCTTTAAGGGGCTTGCAAACTAACCCCAGAAATCTTTTCCTTCTCATGCCACCCCTTCTCCTTAGCTGTCCCTACCATTGAGTCGTACCTGAATAGAGGCTCTCATGTCTACATACTGTCCTGCATCAACTCTCACAGGATCCTACTCTCAAAATGGAAAGCAAGAAGGTCTCTGAACATACGGAATGAAACTCTCATGTTCTTTACACTGCAATTTCTCCTAAGCTTCTAGAAAATTTTACTCACTTGAAGCTTGATCCATGAGCTATTTAGAACAGATGTGATTCACTTGGAAAAGAGCAACACTGGGTCTGTTACATGCTTATGGAGTCCAACCTCAGTTTCTTGAGTTAGTTCTGGCATCAAGATCACCCCAGAATTTTCACAGGGCAATGGGGCAAGTCCCCGTCCTCATCCCATCCCAATACCAATTAGACCTTTGATATCATCCCCAACTGCTCCTGGCTTGTCACAAGTGGGCTGATGTTTATTTTTTCTTTATTTTTTTTTTTTAATTTTTTATTTTTTTTGCGGTACACTGGCCTCACTGCTGTGGCCTCTCCCGTTGCGGAGCACAGGCTCCAGACACGCAGGCTCAGCGGCCATGGCTCACGGGCCCAGCCGCTCCGCGGCATGTGGGATCTTCCCAGACGGGGGCACGAACCCGTGTCCCCTGCATCGGCAGGCGGACTCTCAACCACTGCGCCACCAGGGAAGCCCTATTTTTTCTTTATTTTTAATTGGGTAGATAAAAGATATTTATAAAAGATGTGAAGGTGTAAAGAATAATGATGCAAGGCAGACTTTTGCACCCTCGCCCAGTTGAGGAAATAGAGTATTACCATTATCCTTGAAGTACTGTGTGGGTCTCTTCTGATTTCATCCTCTTCCTTCCCTGTGACAATCAACCACAATCCTGATCTTGCATTTACCACTCCCTTTATTGTATTTATTTTTGCTTTTTAAATTTTATTTATTTTTAAAATTGAAGTATAGTTGATTTACAATGTTATGGTCATTTTCTGATGTACAGCAAAGTATCACTCCCTTTATTTTACAGTTGTAATAAATATAATTTTGCACTATAAACTTTAGTAAATTGAATAATATTGTATTTATTGTTCTGAACCTTCCTTTCTTCTCTCTTTTCTGTGAATTTCTTTATTAGCCTTTTGGTGGGGACAAAAAGTTCTTAATTCCTTTTCTGGCACACTTTAGGTCAGATGTGTGTGTGTGCATGTGTGTGGGTGTTTCATGTTTGAAAACTGTTTTTTAAGAGTAGTTTTAGATTCACCCCAAAACTGAGGGGAAGGGACAGAGAGTTCCCACATCCCTCCTGCCCGCACACATGCACAGCCTCCCTCTTTATTGCCAGCTCCCACCAGAATTGGTACCTTTGTTAAAACTGATAAAGCTAGTACATCATAATCACCCAAAGTCCACAGTTTACATTAGGGTGCATTCTTGGGGTTGTACATTCTATGGGTTTAGACAAATGTATCCCTAATTATAGTATCATATAGACTATTTTCACTGCCCTACAAATCCTCTGTGCTCTGCCTATTCATCCATCTACTTCCCCAACCCCTGGAAACCACTAATCTTTTTACTATCTCCATAGTTTTGCCTCTTCCAGAATGCCATATAGTTGAAATCATACACTGTGTAGCCCTTTCAGATTGACTTCTTTCACTTAGCAATATGCACTTGTTTCCTCCATTTCTTTTCATGGCTTGATAGCTGATTTCTTTTTAGCCCGAAATAAGATTCCAGGGACTTCCCTGGTGGTCCAGTGGTAAAGAATCCGCCTTACAATGCAGGGGACACAGGTCCGATCCCTGGTCAGGGAACTAAGATCCCGCATGCTGCAGGGAAATTAAGCCCGCGTGCCACAACCACTGAGCTCACTCCCCTCAACTAGAGCCTGTGTGTAGCAAACTACAGAGCCCACCCGCTCTGGAGCCTGCACGTCACAACCAGAGAAGAGAAAACCCGCACGACACAACTAGAGAGAAACCCACGCGCCACAACGAAGAGCCCACGCGCCTCAATGAAAGATCCTGCGTGCCTCCCTTCCATGTGCCACAACTAAGACCGTACATAGCCAAAAATAAATTTAAAAATTAATTTTAATAAATAAAGCTTAAAGAAAAAGATTCCACTGTCTAGATATACCACAGTTTTTTTCCATTCACCTACTGAAGGACATCTTGGTTGCTCCCAAGGATTGGCAATTATTAATAAAGCTGATATAAACAGCCATGTACTAATGATGCAGAGCATCTTTTCATGTATTTATTTACTAACTGTATATATTCTCTTTTTTTCCCTGTCTAACTGTATATATTCTTTAATGAAGCATTCATTCAAATCTTTTGCCCATGTTTTAAAGTTGGGTTGTTTGTTTTCTTATTATTGAGTTGTAACAGTTTGGGCTTTTTTTCTTCTAGGTATATGTCCTTCATCAGGCAATAAGTTTTAGAAATATTTTCTCCCAATCTGACTTGTCATTTTATTTTATCATTGTCTTTCTTTTTGGAGGGGTATCATCCAAATAATTTGTGTATGTGTGTTTGTGGGGTTTGTGTGTGTGAGGTCCAGTATTTCTTTTCTTTTTCTTTTCTTAAAATTTATTATTGAAGTATAATTGACCTACAACACTATGTTAGTTCCAGGTGCACAACACAGTGAGTTGATATTTCTATGTGCTACCAAATGATCACCACTCATTGTCTTTTGAAAAGCAGACATTTAAAATTTTTATAAAGTCCAATTTATCAGTTTCTCTTTTACAGAATAATTTTTTTCTTTTATATACAGTTTTTTAATCATATTTAATAAATCTCTGCCAAACCTAAGGTCATTAAGATTTTTTGCTGTTTTCTTCTAGTTTTATAGGCTTAGTGCTTACATTTAAATATAGGATCCATTTTAAGTAAATTTTTTATTTATAGTGTGAAATGAGGGTTGAGGTTTAATTTTTACACATGGCTATCAATTGTTCCAGCACCATTGTTGAAAAGATTATACTTTCCTCATTGAATTGCCTTGGCATCTTTATCAAAAATAAATCGGCCAAATGTTTGTGATCGTACGTCTGCACTCTCTTTAACTTTGTTCTTTTTTCAAACTTTCAAAAGCTATTGCATATAAATTTTGCATTTCCATACAAACATTGTTGCACTTCCATATAAAATTTAAAAACAGCATGTCAACTTAAAAAAAAAGGGGGGGACTTCCCTGGTGGTGCAGTGGTTAAGAATCCGCCTGCCAACTCAGGGAACGCGGGTTCGAGCCCTGGTCCAGGAATCCCACATGCCGCAGAGCAACT